GATTCAGCCTTTGCCTAGTGAGACATTATCTGAATTGCCAATGTATTAATACGTTGGTTTCAGCATTCAATTTATTATGCAGAAACAGTCTCGCTTGAAGACGGGTATAATTTCGTTGAATGTTGTGTTCACTGCTTGCGCTTACTAGGGCATGTTTTGATTTTTGGTTGGTTGTTGGTTGTAGTTTGTATGGAATTTAGGGGAAGTGTGTTTTTGAGGTTTGTGATTTGATGTTTGCGTATTGTTTTGTGGTTTTTTAGAGGATAAAAATAAAGTTTACTGAGATTGGTTGGTTGTAGATACAGACCTCGCTGGGAACGTAGGGATGTGTCCAACGAGTGATTGACGAGACCTTTCGACGTCGCCCCGTAAAATCTCGCTTCGTCATGCCGAAATCCACTGTTGACGAAGTGGCTTGCCGTCGGCTGGAACTCTCCACTTACTATAGTTGAATTGTGAAGGCGGGTGGGGTGAGAGACCACAAGATTTGTAGTAGCCACTTAAGGTGAGTGGTTCGTCCGCGTGTTGTGGTGGTGGTGGTGATGGTTAGGGTGTGTGCCTATCGTCGTGTGGGCTTGCGTACTCCGTTAGTATTACCACCCTCAGAGAGGAGTGTAAGGGAGAATTGGGAGATATTGACTCACTATGCTGCAAGGCGACGGCTGATGCGGTTCACGTATGGTCGGCTCAGCTGTGTGTGACTTTGTAGGATGCAGGATCTGGGAGGGTGATGTTTCTGTGGGTGCGCTCTTAGGTATCCTGCGCGTCCAGGATGAAAGTCTCGGTATCAGGTTGATTGCTGGCGAGAATGTTTGTGAAATCAGGAACGATTTTGGGGGGTTGGGGTAAGGTAATCGCCCAATTATGTGCTGGCGATGGCTTAGTCTTTTGGGTTGGGCGATGCGTTGGGTTTGACTGTCGCTCGTTTATGGATTCAGATATTGACCGTTCGACTGCTGGTCTAAAGTCAACCAGTTCGCCCCTCGAATTGCTTTCGAAGATCTTGTGAGTTTACTTCGATGCATGTGCGTTCTGGCGGACTGTTTTTGATGTCCGCGTTATTTTTGTGGTATGGTTGTGATTTTCAGTTTGTCATATGGGGGTGTGGCTGGCTTCGTCTAGTTCGTAACGATGCCCGGAAGTATGGTTTTCAATCTGCTTTTTCTCGAGTCTAGAGCGATTGTGTTTTGATGCGACCGAAGATTGTTGTATTGGATGGTGTCGTTTAAGGAGGCTCGAATGTACGTGTGTGCTTTCGTTGTTTTGTGCGGCTGTAGGCAACAGTTGGATTCGGACATTAAGTCGGTATTTTTTTTTTTGTGTGGTGTTTCGGGTTTTTTGAACGTCGCCCGACGGCTGCGGGCCGATGGAACTTACTAAGCGCTTGTATCGTTGGTGTCGTTAGTGCAGAGGTGATCGGCGAGTGTTGATTATGGTAGTTGTGGAAGTTGTTTTCCAGGAGGGTGGTGTGTGGTACTAGTTTGGGTTGTGGGTTTTGGAATAGTGAGGGGTGTATTTTGAGAATTGTGATGTGGTGTGTTTGGCGTGATTTATTGGCTGTGCTTTTGGGGGTAGGAGGTATGTGTGCTGTGTCTGTTTGGGGTATGTCTTGGTGTTTTGTGTGGAGGGTTTGTCACTTCGGACAATTTCCTCCCCAGTCGAGCGGGTTGGCAAAATGTACCTTACTACGCCGCTCAGATAGGTAGTTCCGCCGAGCTTGGCTGGGCGGCGTTTTGAAACCCGCCCCTACGAGTGCTGTGCATAACTATGCGGACTCGACTTGCACAGTAGTGAGATCCGCATGAACGCCCTTGCCACCACCCTCTGGTTTTGCTTCGCATGGAATGACTGGTGGCGCTGTGTCGTGCTTTGATTTTCTACTGGATTCCAGCGTCAGCGGAGAAGACGGGGGTTAGCGGAAATGACGGGGGTCGCGGGAATGACCGGAGGCCTCTGTCGGGAAACAAAATGACGGGGGCTCGCGAGGGATGGAAGGGGGCTTGCGGGGAGACCGTATTGATGTTCAGTGCCCCTGCGCGTCTTCGACCACCATCCCAGGACTTCGTGGGAGGCTATGGAGCCGATGAATTGGTTGGTTTCGGGGTCGGTTACTGGGAGGATGTTGATGGAGTTTTCGGTCATGTTTGGAGGGCGTCTTCGACGTAGTCTTCGGTGGTGGCGGTGGGGGTGTTGTGGCGGAGGGTTTGGGTGAGGGTGGTGGTGTCCCATCGGTGCGGGGTAGGTAGCGGAGCATGCTTAGGGAGACTATTCCGGCGAGTTGGCCTTGGTCGACTACGACGTAGTCGTGCTGTTCTGGTATGAGCCAGTGCTCGGCGAAGTTTTTGACGGTGAGGGATTGGTCGGGGAAGGAGCGGGAGCGGTCTAGGATGTCTTTGACTTTGATACCTTCGAGTGCGAATCGGTATAGGGATGGCGGGATTTCATCGAGGGATGTCGGGGTTTTGGCGGGTTTGATCCGCTTGATGGCGTTGGCGATGCCTAAGGGCGTGATGAGGATGTAGGCGAACATGACGAGGACGAGGAGGGAGAAGATGGATTTGTCGATGGCGCCGGTGTGGAGGAGCAGGAGTAGTAGCGCGATCTCGGCGACGCCTTTTGCCATGAGGCCTGAGGCGGTGGCGAAGGGGGCGTCGAGTCGGGTGACGTATGCGCTGATGACGGAGGCGGCGAATTTGCCGATGAGCGGGACGAAGGTTAGGACGACGATGGTGAGGATGGAGAGTTCGACGAATTCGAAGCTGAGGTGAAGTCCGGCAGAGGCGAAGAAGAGGGGCACGAAGAAGCCTTCGGCGGTTCCTTTCATGCCTGGCATGATGTCGTGTCGGACTTGGAAGGGGAGTGTCGATAGAGCTGCGCCGAGAGGAGCGCGCCGATCGAACCGTGAAGTCCGACCTTTTCGGCGCCGAATACTACAAGGAAGAGTCCGCCGAGGAGTAGTCCGAAGGAGAGTTGTGGCACCTGCAGTACACGGTGGAGGAGCATTATGAGTTTGGGCAGTAATCTGGTTGAGAATATCCAGATGATGATGGCAAATCCTACGATTTGTCCGATGCGGGTAGCGACGTCGAGGAGGTTTGGGGCGTGTGCGTGACCATCGCCGTAAAAGTGTTCGCTGATTGCGAAACCGAAGACGAAGAGGGCGATGAGTTCGACGATGATGACGGCGGTGAAGATCTGGACGCCGACGGGTCCTTTGAGATTGCCCTCGTCGATGAGGACCTTGGCGACTAGTCCGCTACTGGAGAGTGAGAGTACGCTTGCGACGCCCAAGGCTTGGGTGAAGTTGAGGCCGAGTTTTAGGTCGATGAAGTAGTCGGTGGTGACGGCCAAGGAGACTAGCATCGAGATGACGATTGAGAGCGTGGCGGCTAGGAACAACCTTCCTCGGATCGCGGAAAAGAAGCCTTTGATGTCGATTTCTTCGAGGCCGATGAGGAAGAAGAAGACGAAGATGCCGACGCCATAGATGATTTCGGTTTCAGCTCCAGTTTTGACGAGTCCGGTTACCGGACCCAGGATTACGCCGGCGGCGGCGTAGGCGATGATGGAGTTGAGTCCGAAGCGCTTGAAGATGCCTTCGAGGAGCTTGGCGCCGATGATCAGCAGGCCGATAGAGAACAGAGTCTCGTGGATGTGCAATCGGGCGTTTCCTTACTTGTCGGTGGCTTTGGATAGGGTTTCGCGATGGTTGCCGATGCGACGGCGGTGGAGCCTATGTGAATCGGCACGTGTGGATTTTACGCTAGATATGGTGTATCGGTAAAGGATGATCGGGCGGAGGCAGGGGGTGCGGTGGAATGTGTGGCGCGAGAAGGGTATTTCTGCACCAGCCTTCGCCCCATGACCGCCCCGATACCCTCACCCTGACCCTCTCCCATGGGAGGGTTCTTTGCACAACCTTACAGACGACGGATTCCCGGTCAGATCATGTGCGCCGCCCCGTTGCACCGCCCCTCTGGATTCCGGCTTTCGCCGGAATGACGGTGGTTATGCACAGCACCCATGGAAGGGAGAGGGGACCCACCTCCAGTCCTCGTTCCTAGCGAGGCGAGGGTTTCGTCTAGTGCTGGCAGTTTTGGCAGTAGTAGGCGGTTCTGCCGGAGATGCGGCGCGAGGTGGTGGGTTGGTGGCAGGTTGGGCAGGTGGAGTTGGGGGTTCGGGGGATGCGCATTCGGGCGTCGTGGGCGTCTACTACGTAAGGGCTGCCGTCGGGGCTGGGGTGGGTTGTGATGTGGTTTAGGGCGTGATCGAGGACGGTGAGAATGTTGGCGTGGAGTTGGTGGAGTCGGGTTAGGCTGATGCGGTTGCAGCGTCGGACGGGTGAGATGCGGGTGCGCAGGAGGGCTTCGTCGGCGTAGATGTTGCCGACGCCGGCGATGAGGGACTGGTCGAGGAGGGTGGGTTTGATGCGGGAGCGTTTGTTTCGGATGTGGTCGGCGAATTGGTCGGGGGTTAGATTCCAAGGCTCGGGGCCAAGTTTGGGATAGGCGGTTGTGGGGTCGTCGACGGCCCAAAGTCGGGCCCATCTTCGGGAGTCGTTGAGTTCGATGCGTCGGTCGTCGTTGAGGTAGAAGGCGGCTCGGCGGTATCGGACGGGGTCGTCGTTCGGGTTGCGGATGTGGAGGGAGCCGGTCATTCCCATGTGGAGGACTAGGTGAGACTGGGTTTCGTCGCGGACGATGAGCGGTGATACTAGGTATTTGCCGCGTCGGTCTAGGGGGCCGATCTGGGTGTTGGAGACTTTGTTGGCGAAGGTTTCGATGTCGGCGGCGGGTGCGGCGATGCTGTCGGACCAGCCGATTTCGACGCGTTGGATGGTGGCGCCTTGGATGTTGGAGGCGACGAGGTAGCGCCGGATGGATTCGACTTCGGGAGTTCGGGCATGGGGATCGCTCGCCCGTGAGATTTTCAGTGAACGTCCGACGTGAATTCGCGACGGCCCTTTTGAAGAATGGACTTTATGGCGGATCAGCGACGGTTCAATCGTCGGACGATGTGAACCCAATCGCGCGCCGGTTTGTCTCGATTAGGTTGCTGACGGATTCTGTTAGTTTTTGAAGGTCTGATCGGATCTCATGCATCTCGGTCACCAACCCTTCCACACGTGCGTTCGCCGCGAGGTTGCTGTTGGTGAGCGACAGGATCGCGTCGGCGATGATCACCTTGTAGTCCGCAACATCTTCTTTGGTTGCGAGGTCTTCGTGTGTGTGTTCTGCGATTGTCATGGTCAATATGATACTGACGTATTAGTTTTGCTTGTAATGCTACACCATCACTCGCGCGACAAATGCCTGATTGGATTGTCGCTTAGCGAAATCAGATCGCTACTGCCCCTGCGCCCTCCGCCCTGCACCGCGGAGGCCGCCGTTTTGTTGGGTGATGAATTCTTGGGAACCTGCGATGATGGTGCGGGCTTGGATGGCGCCGTCTTCGAGGGGGCCGATGGCTACTACGCCCATGCCTTCGGTGAGGTCGGTTAGGGTGCCGGTGGTTGTTGAGACGATTACGGATTCGTCGTTGGCGGTTAGGCGGAGGGTGCCTTGTGTGGTTTCGACGTGGACCATGTCGCCGTTGACTTCGGCGATGGTGCCTTGGATTGCGGATACGGTGTTGTCTCCGCCGCCGACGCCAAAACCGAATGCGCCGAAACCTCCTGCACCAGCACCCGGGTTTTGCGGAACAAGGTTCAAACTGACGATGAAGATTGCGCCGCCTGCGCCGCGTCTAACCGTGCCGACTACGTTTGCGCCGATCGAGAGTTCGGAGACATCGAGGCTGTTGATGATGGTGATGTTGGTGTCTTCGCTTATTTCTACGTCGGTGGTGTTTTCAGTGTCTTCGAGATCTTGGACGTGATGGTGGATCCGAAGATGTAGGTGATGGTGCCTTGGTGGTTGGCGGTGTGCCGAAGCCTCCGCCCTGTCCGCCGCCTGGGATCTCGATGCCGGCGTCGGCGAGTGCCTCTTCCATCAACTCGCGAAGTCGGGCTTGTTCGGCTTGGCTGATGTTGCCTGTTTGGGCTTTCTGGATGAGTGCGGCGATCTCGGGGTTGCTCTCGATCGCCTCTTGGATTGCTTGGAAGTTTCCGCCGCCAGGTCCGCCGGCGCCCGCCACCACCGAATTGTCCACGCCCGCCTTGCGCGGGTTCCTCGTTGGTAGTATCTTCTGGTTCGTCGGTTTCGGTTTCTACGCTCTCGTCTTCAATGTCGAGGTCGGGAGACTCGTCGGTTAGGATTTCGGGCGCTTCGGCGGTTGGCTCGTTGCTTTCGGCTCTTGGTCGTTCGGGCCCGGAGCGGGTGCTTGGCGTTGGTAGTTCGCTACTGGGGGCAACCGGAATCTCCTCATCGTCTTGGTCGGACGGACCCAAGAGGAAGATTGCGGCGACGCCGATGATGATGCCGACGAGTACGACGACGGCTAGAAGGATTGCGAACGGGCTCTTCATGTGGTGGTCACCATTTCATAGTCGCCATTGGGGATTGGATGTTGATTATTCGTATCGAAGGGCTTCGATGGGGTTTAGGCGTGCGGCGCGAACGGCTGGGTAGATGCCGAAGAAGAGTCCGACGCCGACAGATACGATCATGGCGAGGATGGGGATGTCGCTGGTGACGCGTGTGGACCACTCCGTGCCGATGAGAAAGCGTCCGTCGATGCCGGTTGCGAGCGCGACGCCGACGATGACGCCGATGATGCCGCCGCCGAAGGTGAGGAAGACGGCTTCGGTGACGAATTGTGCGACGATGTCGCGTCGCTTGGCCCCCATGGCTTGTCGGATGCCGATTTCACGGGTTCGCTCGGTGACGGAGACGAGCATGATGTTCATGATGCCGATGCCGCCGACGAGGAGTGAGATTCCGGCCACGGTGCCGAGGAATACGACGAGGGTTTGGTTGGCTTCGTCGAAGGTGTCGAGGATTTCCTGCTGGTTGAAGACGGTGAAGTCGTCGGCCTCGGTGATGCGATGGCTCAGGCGGATTACGGTCTCGATTTCTTCAATGGCTTGATCGACGAGTTCGACGTCACGGACTTGGATCGAGATCTGGTCGACGCTGATGTTGCCGCCGGGGATTCGCTGTCCGGAGAGGCGGTAGTAGGCAGTGGTAATCGGGATGACGGCTTGGTCGTCGAGCGATCCGAAGCCGCTTTGGGATGCAAGGACACCGACTATTCGGAATTGGCGGCCGTTGATGCGGACTTCAGCGCCCGTGGGGTCTTGGTTTCCGAAGAGGTCTTCGGAGACTTGAGCGCCGAGTACGACGACTTCGGCGCGTGATTCGACGTGCGGTGCTCCGATGAAGGTGCCGGTGGCCATCTCCAAGTTACGCACGCGCAAGAACTCTGGCGTAACGCCGGTTATTTGTGCTTGGGTGGTGGTGTTACTGATGTGGATGGTGCCGAAGGTGCCGATTTGGGGTGCGACGGCTTTGATGGAGGGGGTGTAGAGCGGGTCGCGGAGGGCGTCGACGTCGGCGAGGGTCAGTGGTTCTTCGCTTGGGATCACGGTCAATAGGTTGCTTCCAAGACCTTGTATCAGTTCGGTGATTCGGTCGGGGAGATCCGCGCCCGATGGACATCAGTGTGATGACGGAGCAGACGCCGAGGACGATGCCGAGGAGGGCTAGCGCGGCGCGTAGGCGGTTGGCCGTCAGAGAGTAGACGGAGGTTCGGATATGTCTTGGGGAGACAACTGGAGGGTCTAGGTTTCGTCGCTGATGACGCGACCGTCGCTGAGGGTGATTACGCGGTCGGCTCTGGCGGCCACATCCGGTTCGTGTGTCACTACGATGACGGTGATGCCGTTTTCGTGGTTCAGGTCGGAAATGATGTTCAGGATTTCGGCGGAATTTGAAGTGTCGAGGTTTCCGGTGGGTTCATCGGCGAGGAGGACTGACGGCTCTTTGACGAGGGCTCGGGCGATGCCGACTCTTTGTTGCTGACCGCCGGAGAGTTCGGTTGGTCTGTGGTGTGTGCGATCGGCAAGTCCGACAAGGGTGAGGGCGTTTTCGGCGCGTTTCCGTCGGTTGGGCCAGTGGCCGTACATCATTGGGAGTTCGACGTTGGCCAGTGCGGTAAGGCGTGGAAGCAGGTTATGGGTCTGGAAAACGAAGCCGACTTTTCGGCTGCGGATGTCGGCTAGGTGGTCGTTGGACATCGATTCGACTGCCTGACCGTCGATGTGGTAGGTGCCGGTTGTGGGGATGTCTAGGCATCCGATGATGTTCATGAGGGTGGATTTGCCGGAGCCTGAGGCACCCATTATTGCGACGTATTCACCGTCGTGGATATCAATTGAGACACCGTCTAGGGCCCGGACTTGGATGGTTCCGGCGCCCATGTCGTAGACCTTGGTGACGTCGCGGATGCGGATGACGGGTTGCGACGCGTATGTCTGAGTGCTCACGATGGTTCTGTTTTGGCAGTGAACTACCGTCTGGGGCCGCCGCCGAAACCTGCGACCGCTCGGAAACCGCCGAACTGGCTGGTGTCTGATCCAACCACCGTCATCAGAATGGTCTGGCCTTCGCCTACGCCGTCTTCGACGACCGTCCAGAAGTCGTCGGATATCCGAGAATCACGCTGCGGGGCACTAGCGTGCCGTCGGATGTGGGGATGAGGAGGATAGGGTCATTGACCGAGCCAAAGAGGGCTTGTATGGGGACAAGGAGCTGGTTGGATTGTTCGCGGATGACGACTTCGGCGACGGCGCTGAGACCTTCGGGGCAGCTGGTCGCTGCCGGTTGCTCGGTTGGATGGTTACGGGGTAGGTGACGACGCCTTGGTTGGATTCGCCGAAGGCTGCGATGTCGCTGATGTTTCCGATCAGGGCTTCGTCGCCGAGGGCTTCGAGTTCGATAGAGGCGGAGTCGCCGACCTGTAGGAAAAGGACATCGACCTCGTCGACGGTGCCGGAGATTTCGACGATCGAGGGGTCGGCGATGACGACGGCGGCGGCGTCCTTGTTGACGGATTGGCCCTCTTCGACCTGGATTTCGGCTACGACGCCGTCGAAGGGGGCGATGATCTGGGTTCCTTTTGTTGCGGCGATGGCGGTCGCGAGTTCTTCGCGTGCAGTGGCGGCCTCGGCGCGTCGGAGGGCGACGGTTGCGGGATCGGGGTTGACGAGGTCTGCGTGCTCTTGGGAGGCGACGGTGAGGTCTGCTCTCGCAACTGCGAGTTCCTGGCGTGCGAGTTCAATGTCGACCTCGTCGGGTGAGATGAGGTCTTGCAACGCGACAATCTTGTCGTTCAGATCTTCTTGAGCGGCGGCAACTTCGGATCGGGCGACGACGATCTCGTTGTCGTCTCCGGATAGCAAAGTTTGCAGAACGCGGGTCTTGTCGTCGAGATCGGCTTCAGCGGCGTAGATTCGCCGATGCATGACGACATTATCTGGCGACTCTAGGTTGTGGAGATTGTCTGACGCTCGGACTGCTTCGGCGAGGTCGGCTTCGGCTTTGGTTGTTTGGAAGTAGGCGACCGTGATCGTTACATCGTCCGGCACGGTCTTGACTTCGGCCAGCGTTTCCTCGGCATCAGTCAGGTTGTTGCGTGCGACCTTCGCAGCTTCCGTTGCAACCGCGAGCGATTGGCTCGCTTCGACGACGCGAGCCTCCGATTCCTGTTCAACGCGTTCCAACTCTTCGAAAAGCAGTTCCAGTCTGTTTTTTGCGTCGACTTGCGTGTAGTTGGCTACCTCTTGCTTGGCAAAAAGATCGCTGATGGTGTCGTCATCGGTCCCGGTTAACGCGTCCTCGAGCTGTTCCTGGAGGTCTTCTAGCGACTTTTTGGCGGACTCTACGGCGTCTTCAGCGTTGTCGAACTGTTGGGAATCTGCGAGCATGGTGGTCTGGTACGCTTCGGATTTCAGCAATAGGTCGTCCCATGCATCATCAAATTCGAGGTTGACGCACTCAGAATTTACGCCGGTGCCAGATTCCGTGCAGTCGAACTGAAGCTGAGTCAAAAAGAATTCGGTCCAGGTTGCAACCACGGTCTCATCCCAAGGGGTTTCGGGATCGTCTTTGACCCAACCTGAGGAGGCCGACGTTCGCTGCCCCAGTCCGCCGGCGACGGTTGCAGGGTCCATTATCTCGGATAGCGTCTTGCCAACATCGGCAAAGATCTGATCAGGGGAATACTCCCACTGGTACTTGGAGATGTCCATACCCAGCCACTTGAAGAAGACGTTTTGATACGTGCTCCGGGCGTCGTAGAGTTCGGATTCGAGTTTCCGTACGTCGGCGCCGATCTCTATTTCGAGTCGGGCCAGTTGATTTTCGGCGACAATGACGTCGTTTCGAGCTTCGGCGATCTGCGCGTTGAGGTCGGCAACGACTTCCTCATCAAAGGGCTTTTGGGCGTCCGAGAGGGCGTCTTGAGCGTCGGTAAGATCCAGCGTTGCGGCGGCGAGTTCGGCTTCGACTTTCGAGATTTCCAGCTTCTTGCGGGTGATGTCGTTCGCAACGTTGGCTTGGGCGACTAGCAGGGAGTTTTCGGCATCGGAAGCGGCAATTTTGGCTTCAATCAGCGCCAACTTCGCCTCTTCGAGATCTAGTTGCGCTTGGTTGACCGCGGCTTCGTCGATGTCCAGTGTGTCCTCGTACGCTTCGCGAGCATCGTCGCGGACTTTGATGGCTTCTCCGACGGCGATTTCTGCCGCGCTTATCGCGGCGCTTTGTTCCGCGGTCAGGTCCGTTAGTTCGGCTTTCAGATCAGCCAAAGTCTTTTCGGCCTCCGCGACGGCGAGCTGCGCGTTCCCTAGGTCAACGTCGGTCGGTGAGAGGAGATCAGAGAGCTTTTCTTGAGCGGTTTCGAGGTCCGCGGCGGCTGTGGCAACCGCGAGTTCGGCATTCGCGATGTCAGACTTTGCGGGTTGAATGATGGCGGCAAGCGCATCCTCGGCATCGGCCAAGGTTTCGCCCGCCTTTACGACTTTTAGCGTCGCGTCGCCGACGGCTTTGTCGTCGGGATCGATTAGCTGCTGCAGCTCGTCTTCAGCGTCTTGCAGCGCGACGCTGGTGTTCTGCAACTGTTGCTGAGCTGCAACGGCGGCCTCATCGTTGAGCGACATTAGGACTTCGCCCTCGGAGACGAAGTCGCCCACTTCGACATCGATGGTGTCGATGGTTCCGGATGTGCCGAAGGATAGACGTTCGCGATTGGCGTATTCGAGGGTTCCGTTTACGGATACGGAGTTGACGAGATCGCCGCGTCTGATGGTCAGAAGTTGTGTCTCCGCTCCTTCATCTACTCCGTATTCGGCGAGGACGGCGGCGATGGGTGATTCGCCTTCGATCAGGTCTTCGACAAATGGATAGATGAAGAAGGTGCCGATATATGCGACGAGCGGCACGGCAATCAGGACGGCGGCAGCGATGATCCACTGTCCGCGGGTTATCTGCTGCAACTGGTGCTTCAGATTGGCCACGGACAGCGGATTGTCGTCGTCGGGTTCGGAGGTCACTGATTGCGAGGATTCATTACTAGTTTCAACGGTCGCTGTGTTTCTTACGCTCTGAGAATCGGGTGAGGATGCATGACCCGCGGTTTCGGCCTCGGTTGACCCACCGGCATCGCGGCGCAAGACGCGGCCGACGAGACCTCGCAAGTCGTTTGACACCTTGCGACTGGAATCAGCTCTGCTGCGTCGGCCGGAGACGAGGAAATATCCGAGCATCCCTGCCATCCAGCAGTTGGTCCAATGTCTTGGCTTTCGATCGTTCATTTGCTTCGCATCACTCTATCGACATTAGAGTAACCTTATTCACGCGCGACCGTATTTGGACAGTGAGAGATTGCGATGATTGAAGCTAAACTTGCACGAGATTATGACATTCGATTTGGGCACGGATTGCTCAAATCCGACTCTGCGAAATGGGGTCGATACGTGGTGATCACGACGCCCTCTGCATGGGCAGCGACCAAGGACGAGTTGGACCACGAGCCGGCAGGCATCGGAATCAACGAGTGGCTCGACAGGACGCACTTGATCGAGGTCTCTGACTCGCTTCCGGACGATATCGATTTAGTCGTGGGTCTCGGTGCTGGACGAGCGTTGGATCACGCGAAGCTGGTGGCGCACCGTAAAGGGAAGCCGCTGGTCCAAGTGCCGACGGTGGTCTCCACGGGTGCCATCATTCATGGCTTCGTCGCGGACTGGGACGGTCGGCAGATCATCGGACAGCTCGCGGTGGTGAACTGCGAGTACGTTTTGGTCGACTACGATGTCGTGCTGCGGGCGCCAGAGCGATTGAACACGGCGGGATTGGGCGATGTTCTGTGTGGTTATGCGGGGCTTTCAGAGTGGCGACACAACGCCGAATTAGGCAAGACCGACCCGGTCGATGCTTCCAAGACGGCGAGATCGATAGCGCTTTACGACCAGATCGTCACCGATTTTCCAGCGTCTCTCGACGAAGGTGGTGAGTTGACGCCCACATCGGTAAAGGTGATCATGTCCGCGGTGCAGGCACGCGACGATGCCTTGGTGAAAGACGAACGAGCTCCGGGCGCGGACCATGCGTTCTGTTTCGTTGTCGAGATTGCCAACGACAAGTACTGGATTCACGGCGAGATGTGTGCACTTGGCGCCGTGATCATCGCTTGGCGCACTCAACAAAACCCGGAAACTTTGACCGGTGGTTGGATAGATGCAAAGTTCGGTGGCGTCCTTCCGATGTCGAAATCACCCGTGAGGAGTTAGGCGCTGGCATTGCCGTGTGGCCGCCGTGGATGGGAGATGGCACGAACGACAAACCGGCATCGCCCTCGATCGTAGTGCAAGAACCGATGTCGGAAGCAGAGATCGATGCTTGTTGGGAGTGGCTGAACTCGAATTGACCGAACATGCCCGGGAGTACGTCAAATGTGGGCATTGACGATAGCCGGTGGCCGTGGCGAGCGGTTGAAGCCGCTCACGGACGATATCTGCAAACCGATGGTGCCGGTCAACGGTGCTCCGTTGCTCCAGCATCAGGCGAGTTGGCTATGCGCGAACGGTGTTACCGACATCGTTTTCCTTACCGGGTACCGGGCGGAGCAGGTCGAGGAACATTTCCGAGATGGGTCCCGTTTCGGGTTCAATGCGCACTACTCTCCTGAGGATCAGCCGCTCGGGCGAGGAGGCGCGGTGAAGCAGGGTTTGGGAGTTGTGCCGGAAGGTGTTGAGGACGTCGTGGTCGTGAACGGGGATGTGTTGACGGATCAATCGTTGGCGCCGCTTATTGAGATAAGGCGCGTCAATCGAGCACTGGCCGCGATCACGTTGATACCTTATGTCAGCCAGTTCGGCGTCGTGTTGGTTTCCGACGATGACGTTGTAACGAGCTTCGCGGAGAAGACGGAGCTACCGTTTTGGATCAATGGCGGCATCTACGTTCTCGAACGCGGCATCGAGGGATTGTTTCCAGACGTTGGAGACCACGAAGACACGACTTTTCCTCAGATCGTCGACGATGGTCGGATGCGGGCGATACGTTCAAGCGCGAATTGGATATCGGTGGACAGTCACAAAGACCTGAGCCAAGCGGAAGAGATGATGGCGCAAGGACGGTTGCCGCGATCGAACGATTAAGAAGGCCGTAAACGCGCCAATGGGTTCTTTGCATAACTGTTCGGAGCGACAGCACGGTGGTGAGCTTCGGCATGAACCGCCCTTGCACCGCCGCTCTGGATTCCGGCTTTCGCCGGAAAGACGGTGGTTGTGCACAACGCCCCTATGCGGTGAACATTCGCAATAGGTCGTGGCGTGCGATCATGCCTTGTGGGATGCCATCAGACACGACTGGGACGTGGTTCTCGCCGGTAGCTGCAATGATCTCAACCACGGTGTCGATCGTGGCGTCGGGATGCACGCACTGAGGATCAGATTTCATGACCTCTTCGACTCGCTTCGAGCGCACCTGTTCGATGGCATCGTAATACCCGGTCGAATGGTCGCTTCCAACAGACGCACCCATCAAGCGCGTCGTGGTGCCACGCATGAAGGGGACCAAGACTTCTGTGGGCATGAACATTTGTTCGGTCACCAAACCGCAGATTTCGCCAGCGTCGTCAACCACAACCACCGAACCGATGTTGTGTTCGATCATCAGCTTAGCAACATCCGAAACCTTTTCGTTACGGTGCGCCGTGATCACCGGCGCATGCATCAAACTTCGGACATCGCTGTCTGGTACTTGACTCATTTCCACCTATCCACATTCACTCCGAGGACCCATGCTCGAAACCTATCACATATGAATTGACGCGGCCAATCCGACGATTAGATACAGAGTATCTCAGACCTTTACACGTTCGCGTTCTGCCTTCAGATAGCGCGAGAGTTCTATGGTTACGATATCGATGTTTTTGTCGGACGTGTTGATGACGAAGTCGTAGATCATCGGGTCTTCAGGGTCGGCGTGGTGCAATTTGTGGAAGTATTCCCGCTGTGCATTTTCGCGTTCCAAGATAATGCGTTCAGCCTCCGCGACGTTGGTCAATCCCTCCCGCCGCATCACGCGTGTCACGCGGTCGTCCCAGTTGGCGAATATGCCCACACGCGCCACTTCATCTTGATTTGCCAGTTCAACCGCACCGGCGCGGTGCACGATTACCGCGTTTCCACCTCTGGCCAAATGGCTGAGGTCGTAGGAGTTGTCGATCGAGCTTTGCGCTGACGGACCGTTCCGGTCCCACGTCAACGGTATGTGGAGGTCAGCCGCGCCTTGCAGCATCGGGTCGTCGCCTGCTGCGCCAACTGCGAAGTAGGATGCCGCCCGTTCGACCCAAGTCCACAACCGCTCGGAGAAATCGGCGCTCGGTGCCATCACCACCGCGTTCAACGCGTCTGCATCGGTTTTGCCTTCCACCGACCGCAATCGGACGCGATCAAAGTACCTCCACCCGAACATCCGGGCGATCTTCCTGCCAACGTCAAAGGCTCCAGAGCCGATGTGGCCGTCTATGGTGATCAACGTTTTACGCATCGGGACCCAACACGTACTCCGCGGACGACGTGATTAAGAAAAACGTCCGCGCGAGCGCAATACTACATGTAATCCGCCGTTCTAGCAATTTCGATTGCGAATCACGCGAATTTACGATCCATCGATTGCGCTCAATCCGCCGTCGATATTCAACGAGGCGCCGTTGATGTAGTCGTTGCCGATGATGCTGATGACGGCTTGGGAGACCTCTTCGACAGTGCCCATCCGGCCGGCCGGCCCTAACGTGCTGTTCGAGTACGATCTCGATCCGGCGGATTGGTCATCGGTCATCGGCAGTATCGCGCCGAGCCGCAGCTCGTTGACTTGAATGCGCGGCGCGAGACTCAGGGCTAGGGTCTTGGTAAGACCGGTTAGGGCCGAGTTGGTGATCGAGTAGGCGACTCGCGAACGGTAAACCGTGCGGCGGTCGTTGATGTTAACTATCTTGCCAATTGCGTCGTCCGGAAGATCACGGGCCATGGCTTGGGAGAGCAGCAAAGGCGCGCGGACATTGACTGCCATCGCATGATCGAAATCGTTTGGCGTCACGTCGTCGATACCGACGCGGTTGAAAATTGATGCGTTGTTGATGACAATGCTGGGGATTTCGCCCAGTTTGTCGACGGTTTCGGACCACAACCGGGCACATTGGTCGGCGGCGGAAAGATCCGCTTGGATCGCTTCGCCCTTGACGTCGAATCCGTGTGCCACGTCGCGAGTTTCGAAGGCTCCGTCCACGCTGGTGTTGTAGTGGACCGCAACGTTGCAGCCCTTCCTCGCCAACGCGAGAGCAAGTGCTCGTCCGATGCGCCTCGATGCGCCCGTCACCAGCGCAGTCGATCCTTGTATTTTCATCACAATTTCTGCCTTGTAAGAGAAATCTGCACAACACCGTCATTTCGGCGAAAACCGGAACCCACGTAGGTGGTACAACCGGAGACTCGCCATACTCGCTATCATGTTAGCCTTCGGGCAATCAGAGTTGAGTCGATGAAGGAACCTAGGATGATTTACGAATTCAGGACGTATGACTTAAAGCCGAGGACGGTGCCGTTGTTCGAGGCACGGGCGGCGGCGAAAGATAAAAGAAGGACGCCAGAACTACTCGCAGCTTTTCGGCTTCTGGACGACTGAAGTTGGACCGGTAAACGAGGTAGTCCATGTCTGGCCCTATGATGACCTCGAGCAGCGCAGGAAGATTCGTGCACAGGTCGCTGAGGATGGAGTGTGGCCACCCGATAACGCCGAGTTCATCAACACTATGCGCTCCGAGATATTTCTTCCGGCTCCGTTCATGGAAAATCGTGGCGAAGCCAAACTGGGTCCGGTTTATGAAATGCGCATCTATACCTACGCGCCGCCGGACATCCCGAGAGTGATCGAAATCTGGGGCGAGCACCTCGAGGAACGAGAAAAGTACTCGCCGCTGGTAGGCGCGTGGTATTCGGAACTAGGCCCGCTCAACACCTGGATCCATATGTGGGCGTACGAGAGCTATGACCAGCGAGCCGCCATCCGCGCCGAAACGCGCGCCAAAGGCGTCTGGCCACCTCCCGGCGGTATCGCTCCATTGACGCAGGCGAACAAGCTGTTGTTGCCGATGAGTTTCTCGCCTTTGCAGTAGAGACCTTCGCAGAACCCTCCACCCCTCTGGATTCCGGCTTTCGCCGGAATGACGGCGGTTTTGCCAAGTGCCCCATGGGGGAACTGAAGCGGGTTTAGAGCGTGGGGTTGCGAAGGTGTTCCATGAACTCGTCGCGGGTGGCGGGATTGTCGAGTAGAGATCCCATCATTGCGCTCGTGATCATCCGTGGATCCTGTTTTCGAACGCCGCGCATCACGGTGCACATGTGGGTGCCTTCTACCACCACGCCAACGCCTCTCGGTTCGATCAATGTGTTGAGGAAACTCGCGATCTCCTGGGTCATTCGCTCTTGCACCTGCAACCGACGGGCGAACATGTCCACGATGCGAGGGATCTTAGAGAGGCCGACGACCTTTTTGTCGGGAAGATATCCGACGTGCGCGTAGCCGTAGAACGGTAGCAGGTGATGCTCACAGAGGCTGTAGTACTCGATCGATTTGACGACGACCATTTGGTCGTATTCGACATCGAAGAGGGCTCCGTTTAGAAGCTGTTCCGGGTCGATCGAATAGCCGCTGAGCAACTCGTCGAACATCTCGGCGACTCGCAAGGGCGTGCGCTCGGTGCCTTGCGGATCGAGGTTTTCCGAGCCGATCGCCTTGAGAATCTCGTTGATGCCGTCGGCGATCCGAGCCTTGGTGGCTCGGTTGAGCGTCACCCCGGGATCGAACATGGCAGGTTCGTAACCGTTCGATGTAACCAAATTGGTGTAGTCAGAAGTGGAAGGATCGGCGACCATTTCGAAGTTTTCGTCCGTTGCGTTTAGGGGCGTTAGAGGGCACGAACCCATTTACGCTTCATTATCGCCGATGGTTCGATTGCGATGGCCCGTTGCCTGCGATAGTCTACGACTTAGCCGTATTTACCGCGGCTGGACAGGTTCGAAAATTGGAGAGATGAACCGTGAAGATTACCGATATTGAGACCTTCGTAGTCGATGCTGGTTGGCGGCCTTGGCAGTTCTGCGCGGTGCGAACGGATGAGGGCATTACGGGGTACGGGGAGATGTCGGATGGGCGGAACCCTTACGGCGTCGTGGGCACGGTATCCGATTACGAGCCGATTCTGCTGGGTCAAGATCCCTTGGCGGTTGAGGCACGGTACTGGGACATGTATCGGATGTCTCGTCAGGCCCCCGGCGGTATCGCGGCGAGGGCGATCGCTGGCGTGGAGCTTGCGTTGTGGGACATCAAGGGCAAGGCGATGGGCGTGCCCGTCCACAGCCTTTTTGGCGGGCCGACGCGGGAGCGCCAACAAGTCTACTGGTCGCATTGCGGTTCCTCCCGCTCACGTAACCATGAACTCATCGGGTCGCCGCCCATGGACTCGTTTCAAGCGGTGACCGACTTGGGTCACGAGGTTAGGGAGCGAGGCTTCAAGGCGCTCAAGACGAACATCATCTTTTTCGACGACGACAACCTTGGTCTACGGCTACGGGTTTGGTACCGGCGCGATGGACCAGACGATCACGCCGGCGTTGCTCCGGCACGTCGAGAAATACATCGGCACGTTCAAGGAGGCCGTCGGGCCGGATGTGGAGATTGCGCTTGACCTTAACTTCAACGTCAAACCGCAAGCCGCAAAGCAGATATGTGCCGTTCTCGAACAGTTCAACATGATGTGGGTCGAGATCGACATGTATGAGGTCGACGGTCTGAAAGAGGTCAAGGACAGCACGAGTTGTCCGATCACTTCGGGGGAGAATCTCTTCACGATCCGCGACTACCGGCCTTACTTTGCCGCGCGGGCGATGGATATCGCGATGATCGACGTTCCGTGGCAGGGCTTTGCCCGTGGGCGAGACGTCGCAATGCTAGCCGAGTCGCACGAGATCAACGTGGCACCCCACAACTATTACTCGCATTTAGCGACGATGCAGGGGATCAACCTCTGCGCTACCCTGCCCAACGTCCGAATCTGCGAGATCGACATTGACGATGTGCCGTGGAAGGACGACCTGACTGGTGGGCCGTTGACCTTCCACGATGGTGGTTTGTTGGATGTGCCGACGAAGCCTGGTTGGGGAGTGGAACTCGATGAGGAGGTCGCGCGGGCACACGCTTGGGAACGTGGTCGTGGGCCCGGTTACGGCGAGACGACGGCGGCCAAATCTTCGTAAGAATTCCTTACGAAGATTTAGGTACGTCCGCGGTTCCCAATCCAAGCTCAACCAAGCTGTGCGAGACGAATTGGACGTCCGGCTTGTGCATGAGGAGTCTGAGGGTGTAATCTTTGAGCGATTTTCCGTCGCCACTCGGCGATGGAGATGACGACGACTTTCTCGAGGTTTCGGCCCATGGCATACCCGAACTCGATGGCGGCGTTGGTTGAGAGGTCAGGATGAGGACGTGGAGCTCGTCGGAGTTGTCGAGCATTTGCCAGCTGCGGTCTCTGATGGCGAGGAGGTCGGCCTCGGTTTGAGGGCCGTTTGCCCAGCGTCGGTCGTATTCGATGGCTGGGCAGAAGACTTCTTTGTTGGGAGGTGTTTTGGATGTACCACTGGCACCAGCGGACGATGATTTGCCGTTGGTTTTCGGGGACGCTGGTGATGGGGGTTGCTAGGTAGACGTGGGGCATGGGGTGGGGTGGTGGAACAATCCTAGAGCAGAAGTTCTTTGACTTCGGCTACACATTGGTCCATATTGTCACGCAATTGATAGACCCAAAATCGTTTCACTTTCCACCCCATGCCGATCAAGCGATGGTCACGCATGAGGTCGTTGCGACTCCGACTTCCATCCCACTCGCGGTGGTACATTCGCTCCGTCAACCTCGACGTTGAGTTTCGTGTTCTCAGTCACAAATGCGAATCTAGGCGATATTGACCCTCTGCGTATTGGTGCATCGGCTTCAATCCGGCGGCTTGCAGCGCCTCATAGAAGGGGCGTTCCCAGTGGCCGATGGTTGGTCCGTCATCGAAGCCGGGAGGGGTGTCAGATTGCTTCCTATTTTGCTGTGTTTGTTCGTAATACTCGGCGAATCCTTTAACGTGCGGGATGCCTTGACACCAAGCAGGATTCTAGGTTGCCCACCACATGGAGCAACGCGCGGGCCCGCGTTATCGCGACGTTGAAAAGGTTCGCGGTTCCGTTGAGAAACCACTCCGCACCTTCGGGCATTTGGTAGCCGACACATGGTGAAAAGAAAATCACATCCTTTTCATCGCCTTGGAAACCGTGCGAAGTGTCGGTGATCAATTCGCATCGTTGCACGGACGCCGGACTCAATTGCTGGTTGATCTTGCCCCGGATGAGGTTTGCCTGTGCGCGGAAGGGCGTCACGATGCCGACAGACTCGCGGAAACCGCGCGCTTCGACGAGATCAACGACCGCCTGAACTACGGTGTCTGCTTCTTCGATGCAGACAGCTCCGCTCGATGCTGGGCCACGTTTTACGCTGCCTTGGTATCGGTCCAACGGATGCCGGGGGAAGTTCCGTCTGGCACCTTAAGGTCGTCGTAATTTGTGCACAGCAACAGTCTGTTGTCGTACCAGTGGCGATTGCTGAACCCGATGATGTCGGCGTGCGATCGGAAGTGTTCCCTCAGCGAATGTAACGATGATCGTCCTACTTTGCCGGTCGCGGCATCGAACAACGAGTTTTGGCTGAATGCGAAAGTCTGGTCTGCGCGCGTGTCAATCCAGTTATGCCCGAATTTCTGATCTCGACGTTGATTTATCGAGGTTATGTGTCTCAACTGATTTGGATCGCCGATTATCAAAGCGCGTTTAGCACGGAAAAGCAACGGAAGCGCGGATGGGATATCGCATTGACTTGCTTCGTCGATGACGACGAGGTCGAATAATCCGTCGTGAAGGGGGATGTTACCTCTTGCGGATAGGTTGGTAACGCACCACGCAGGCAAGGCATCCATTACCTTCGGGAACAACGCCTCCATCTGGCGCATAAGCCTCCCGTACGTGGGTCCGCCTAGTTGATCGTTTTGTAGTCGTTCGAAAAGAGCGCGAAAACCATCGATTGCTCGCCTCGTGTCGATGTCGAAATGATCCGGCAACACGCGCATTGATGCGTTGATCAGACGTTCACCGGCATCCCAAATCTGATTTTCGACGTGCTTTAGTTCTACCGCCAGGTCGTTAACCATTGGCAACTTCGTCAACGCCGCCGCGGCTTCGTCGAACTCGCGCGAACGATTCGCGATGTTCAGTTGGATATCTGCTCGCGACGCATCGAGTTGGCGTAACTTTGCACCATGCTCAGATTCGTGCTCGGTCCTTCGCGCTCAATCTCACCGTGCCGGTCTGCGATACGTTTATCAAATTCCAGATGCGTTCGAATTCATCTTTGAGCTTTTGAATCTCGTCGCGGAGGTTGTCGATGCGTTCATGCAAAGATTCGATTTGCGCTTGTACGCGTTGGAAAAGGTCGTTTTGTAGTTCCGCCTCGCGCAGATCAAATTCCTTTTCGTCGAATTCCGCTCCGGCTTCAGCAATTGCATTTTTGAGATCATCAATTCTCATCGACCAACTGACAATTGCGTTCTGCGTCGCGCTCCCATTCGGACAAACTCGTCAACGCATCGGAGAGATATAGACGTCCAGATGTTCTAATCGTCACGACGATCGGACCGGACGGTGGTACCCCGAGGATGTCGTACTCGTCGTCCCAAGCGGTGGTCAATCCGGCGATGCGTTGCAATCTCGCGGTCTGCCCCCATCGTTTCCAGATTCGCGACCAAATTGAGCCGTTGCCATCAGTCTCGACGGTCAATGCGCATTGCGCGTCCAGTATCAGTTTTCTAAGTTCGGCGAAATTCTGGTCTTTTTGACGAGTCCATTTCGCTGGTCGAAATTTCGTCAATCGATCCCGACGCCTTTTCAAAGAATCGATTTTTACATCGCGCGTCCTGAGTTTCCATCTCTCGTCGCCGTTTCAGCGAGTCCAGTTCGTTGTGTTTGCGGGTGATATCCGAAATGAAATCGGCATCGAGGCGAGCTTGATCGAAGATCTCGTCAGGGAAGGCGTTCAGGAAATCCTTCGGTTCAGAAGTTCTACCGAAGTCAGAGGTCTTCGATTTCCAGATTGATCGCGGCTGTTTCGCTGTCTCGAGCAGTTTGAGCGTCATCGCGCTCACGTCTCCAGCTGCTCAATGTTCCGTTGGATCTCGCCGACTTCGTCGTTTAGACGGATTTCGGCTTGTTCGCGTAACTGTTGTGCTGCGACGAACCGTTTGTCCAAATTCGCCCGTTCAGATTTGAGCCTTGGAATCTCTTCATCGAGTTGATAGACACGATTGCGACGAACCCGTACATCTTCCAGAGCCTCCAAACCGCTTTTCGCTTATTTTCGAGTTGTTTGATCTCATCGTGGGTATCTGACAGATCCTGCCGGTCTTGGTCGGTCACGTCGGATGCCAGAACGTTAGCCAGAGTAAGAGATAATCTCGTTTCTGAGTTCCCTGTCTCCGGCTCGGCGACCCGGTTCGTATCATGAGGTTTGCTGGCCAAATCGTTGACGCGATCTTCAACAACGTTGACCGCCTTGTGGTTGTGGCTCGCAAATAGTACGCTCTGCTGGCGCATCCAAGCAGTGGCGATCACGGTCGTCACGATCTGAGATTTACCCGTGCCGGGCGGACCGGTTACAACCGTGAGGTCGTCACGAAAAGCAGATTTCACCGCGGATCGTTGCTCATCGTTTCAGCGGAACACCTCAGTGATTTGATTCGCGGTATCGCTGTGTTCGCGTTCGAATCGCGTTTTCGGATAGACCAAAGAA